TCTGTCTGTCTGTCTGTCTGTCTGTCTGTCTGTCTGTCTGTCTGTCTGTCTGTCTGTCTGTCTGTCTGTCTGTCTGTCTGTCTGTCTGTCTAAAAAACACTTGTGGTGTTGACAGAATGACAGAGTCAAACAGAAATATTTGCTACTTGTGACTTTGTAATTAAAAACATTCATAAACAATCCTCGATTTAAAAAAGTATGAATTTCAAAAAATAAAAAAATAAAAAATTATTATTTCCGTTTTCTCACTTCCTCTTTGTCAATATAACGCATTTTAACACTTGATGATAAATACATTTGTACCCGACAGGGACAGACATTGATAAATGGTCAAAACACAGCACACTCGTCGTCATAAAAAATAAACAAAATTACAGAGCAGGAAAAAAATATATATAAATAACTCTAGCGCTGTATTTAATAGCAAGTGACCATTTCATTTTGTTACAAATCAAAAGTGTTTGAATTCATCACGAAGGAAGATGTTCATACACTAAAAATAAAGTGTTGAATTTACCGGTACTTAACAAAATCAGCTGGCTCCACTAAGCCTATTGATTAAATTGAGCAAAGAATATACATACTGTATATTGCTCAATTTAGTGGAACCAGTTTGGTTCAGGAAATTCGACTGTTTATTTTTAGAGCATGTGTAAAAGTACTTTTACTTTCCCGATTTTTGTGAACAGTTTTAAGACTTTTACTAGTTTTCTCATCAGTGACCTTTATTTTTTACCAAAGTCATTTTCTGTTCATGTAATTTTACTTTTACTTATTATTATGTTTTTTTTTCAAGTACTTTATAAACCTTTGACAGAAACATCAGTCCATTCCGTCTTCAGTTTTAGAACTAGATATAAAAGATAGAAACGGTCGCTGATGTCCCGGTGTCACGAACGGATGGACAGAGCATCCCCTGCCTCTTCAACGGGACAAAAATAATGAAGTATCAAATTAATTACTTCCCAATACTTTATTCTCCTCCTTGATCAGACTTTATAATGATAAACTTCAACATGAACTGTTTTTTATTATTTGTGGGAAAACTCAGGAACTCTGTAATAAACGAATAATTACTTTTAAATTAGTCAGCAGAGGATATTTAATTATTCACAAACACTGTGCAGAAATTATTTTTTTCTAATAAACAATTACGGTTTTGTAAGTTTTTTCAGTGACCTGTTGATTTCTTTTGGTTCTTGTTTTTTTCTGTTCTTTCATCAGAATGTTTCAGTTGTCAGATTTTTGCTGGCAGTATTTTTCATTGTATATATTCTCATCTGTTGCATTTACTCGCACACATTCAGTTTGGCCTTAAGGTTTGGATTTTTTATGTCCATTGTTTTTCTCAGCTCCCATTGTGTCACGATTGGCAGGACAATTGGACGCCAGTAATTTTCTCAGCTGTTATCACTCAGTAATTTACTCTCCAGCTGTTTCAGTTTAATTTGTCAAATCTGTGTCCATCCTTCCCTGTTTCCTTCATTTATTTGTATTTTCTTTAGTTACCTGTATTTTTGGGGCCACTGCAATCATATCACACTACAAGTTCAAATCTCTAAGACAAAATTAGTCATCGATCAGATCGACAGGCGGATTTGCGCAGCGTCTGCTGTAAAGCGGGTGCTGTACCGGTCCGTCGTGGTGAAGAGAGAGCTGAGTCAGAAAGCGAAGCTCTCGATTTACCGGTCGATCTACGTTCCTACCCTCATCTATGGTCATGTAAGAAAATGATATGCTGGCTAGCAAGCCTCACACGGCCAGCACCATAAATA